GAGAGAGAGAGAGAGAGAGAGAGAGAGAGAGAGAGAGAGAGAGAGGAGAGAGGAGAGAGGAGAGAGAATGAGAGAGGTAGAGAGAGAGAGGAGGAGAGAGGGAGAGAGAGAGAGAGAGAGAGAGGAGAGAGAGTAGAGAGGAGAGAGGAGAGAGAGAGAGCAGAGAGAGGAGAGAGAGAGAGACGGAGGAGAGAAATGAGAAAGATTAAAGGTGACAAGAGGGAGGAAGGGGAGCAAAACATCGGCAAGAATAATAGGCCACCGGCAAGAATAGTTCCAATAGCATTCCAATGATACCACAATTTACGGACACCCGAACATTTTAATCACCTTAAGCATCCCAACAGGTAAACGCGCTTTTGAACGGTTTGCATATTATGCAAGCCAACCTTAATGCATCACACAACCCACTTTTTGGCCGGTTAAATTCCCTGGCGCAGCCTGGTCTTCACGTAAAAGGTTACCAAAATCCACCTGGTTGGTGGCTGCAAAGTTACTCACTTGAGAGTCGAGGCCGAGCATGAGAACCATGAGGAAGAACAGCGCCGACCACAGCGGGCTGATCGGCAGCTGCAGGAGGGCTGACGGATACACCAGGAACAGCAGACCAGGGCCTGCCGCGGGCATCAGACCGACCCACTGACGTCACCGAACAAAGCCGAAGTATGCACTGTGACGGCATAATCATACGCTGACGGATCGTCAGGCAGACCACGTTAACCTCTAGGGGTTAAAACAAGGTTGAAATAAACCACAGAAAGGTCAAACAAGAATCCCTAAGCGTTGCATTATTCCCGAAGTGCATATTTATCGCGGTGTATTCTCAACAGCTCCAGCAGTGCGCAGCGGTGCCGTAGAGGTCAAAGTGGCAGCCATTGAGAACGACCCTGTCGCACAGTGCCCACCTGCCGCCGCCACTTCCTCCACCGGCTTTCCCTGCAGCGTGGCCATGTAGCCGATCACCGAGAAGATGACAAAGCCGGCGAACATCGATGTGCAGGAATTGATAGTGCAAATGATCATGGCGTCCCTGGAACATTGTAGGGTAACATTGCAGGCGCCCATGACAACAATGAGAGGATATTCATGATAATGCAGCCAAGGTAGGGCGCAATTAGACTGTTTTAGATAGGTGGATGGACAGAATCGATTTGTTCTATTCACGGTTTGGCAGTTGGGCAAACCTCACAATCGATATCGCTTTTTTTCCTAATTGCATAAACGGACAACGAAATCATCAGTGTGTGTTGGAAAAACTGAAAAAGTATTGGTACAAAATTCAGATGGCTAATCCCCGTCATGTAACTTGAACAATAGCTTCACGCTTCACCACAATGTCAGTGCCTGCGCTTGCGGTTTACTTGCGTCCATCACATTCGTGATCCCATGGGGGTAGTAAAGTAGGTGATCAACAAACAGATAATACCTAACAGGCAGCTAGCAAGTTAGCTGACGGAGCCCGACGGCTGACCCACTTGTGCACGTTGTTGTTGAATTTGTTGTAGCTGCCCAACGCTATGAGAGAGCCCAGGGCCAGTCCGTACGAGAAGAACACTTGGGTGGCAGCGTCAATCCACACCTGTAAGTGCAGAGTAGTTGGAGGCTCACCGATGCCAGCGGCACGCTCAGCACACACGTGGGCAGGCGCATCTACTTGGATACAACGCAGGGATGTGGACAGCTCATTCCTGACTCAATCTAATCCGACGTCCCGCATAAAGTAAGGCAAAACCAACACCCCAGGCACACGACGACTTCATTCGCAGATGCAAATTGGTCTATTGTTGTTCTCGTCCAGCGGCCTGTTGGGACATGGTCTTTACATTCTGATATCACGATGTAATTAATAGGAATAGGCGGCGGAGCCGGCAACCAAAGTGCAGGATCGGTTACCAGTATACAAATCGGAACAGCTCTCCACCGTCACAAGGACGCAAACCTATAGGGGCACGTCGTTTCTAGGAAATACATTGGAATGCAGAACTATGTAGTTGCTACATGGCATCAGTTTGTAGGAAGTCGAGTGGCAGCAAGTCCTTCTTAAGCATTCCTTCTATGTTGATAAATAGGATATCACAACATAAATAGATATCATACTCTAATATGCCTAAAAAATACAGCAGCAACCGCATTTATTTTTGGGAGAATACACATCGTAGCAGCAGCAGGCCTACGGTCATATTACATTGTAAAAGTTAACGCAGACTTCCTTGCCATAGATAAGACAGTAGTGTTAGACTTATTCCTCGGAGAAAAACCAGAAGAATGGAGATATAGTTGGGTTGATATTTCGGCAACATGCCTTTATCGAAACAATAGCAGAAGCGCTACCTTCTGTCATTCTTTCGATAAGGCATGTTGTCGAGATATCAATCCAACTATATCTCCATTCTCCTGGTCTTTCTCCGAGGAATAAGGCTAGTACCACTGTCTTATCTATTTGACTAATGTTCCTCGCTAATGCACTGAAAAGCTTACGTAATTCAGACCAGGGCGGATCCAAAGGGGGGGGGGGGGCCCGGGGCCATGCCCGCCCTTGGGCCCCGAAGGGGCCCATTGACTTCGAGGGGGCCCATGACCAACCGAACAGGTGCATTTTTTTTAACACAAAACGCAGCAAAATTGGGTATCTCTGTACTTTCAGGAGACCAAGAACAGTTTTAGCGAAAGTGAAGGGCCTATGGGAAGTAAGAAAAAACTATTCACTGATTGGAAAAGATGTGAACTAGAGCTTTTAATACCCCTTTCACTGTCTAGGGGCCCCATGCCCTTTTCGGGGGACCTATACGCCTACTTGAAGGATCGTTTCAATCGCTAAGGGGTATTCCACGTTGCCCTTCATCTGCAGTTTGCTCGGAGGGCCCCGCACTGTTGTTGGGGCCTTTCCTGTAAATTACACCACTAATAACACGGCCCCTTCCACAGATTCTTTCCATTCGCCAGAAAGACTCCGCTAGCTAAAGCCAGGGTCTCATATCTTAACCTGCCGGGGTATGCTCGGTTGCTCAGGGGCCATTTACGTGGGTCTCGGTCAACCTACCGACATACTCGCAATACGCTTATGGACCATCTACATTGGTCAGTCTCTTTCACCTGGTTAGGGCCCAACAGCCTTGTCGGGGGCCCATCTGATGCCTGCTTAGGCACACCCAATCGTTCGGGGACCTTCCACACTGGGTCTCGGTTACTTCTTTTCTGCATGGGGGCCCTACGCTTTTGCGGGGGGCCCTATTTATTGACCCGCTCGGGCACACTCGATCATTCGGGGGCCCTCTGCATTGGGTCTTGGGTCCTGGAGGGCCTTGTGCTGTTGCTAGAACTCTTATAAGATAAGGCACGGAGACACTCGATGCTCAGGGGCCCTCTACTTTGATCGAGGGCTCTCTTTCTTTGGTTCGTTTGCGGAGGACTCTACGCCCATCGAGGCTCGTGTCGCTGACCTGCCCGTACACTCTTAATCGCACAGGGGTATTAATTCATGGTCTTGGATAATTCCCCTTTGCCCGGAGGGTCCTGTGCTATGGCTGTGGTCTTATATGTCAGCGCGCCGGGACACAACCAACCGTTTAAGGGCCCATCACGTTGGTCTTGTATTCTTTTTGCTTGCTCTGGGGGCCGTATACTTGTTGACGAGAGTCACTTATGTGTACTCTACATGAATGCATGCGTAGCACGTCTTTGCTTTATATGATTGCGCATAATAAGACGGATTTCCGTATTTATTAGATAAATGGAGAAGCAAATATGCACAAACATAAATATATATATATATATATATATATATATATATATATATTACATATGACTTATTTTAAAATGCAATGGCCGAAATGCAAGCATATTTTTTGGGAGGTGGTCCCAAATTCAAGGGAGCAAAACAATGTCTCGTGCCTCGCCCCTTGACGAAATCCTAGATCCACCCCTGATTCAGACTTCCTTCGAACCAATAATTCATGCTAACAGTTCTAGAGGTACCTCATTGGACACCAGATCAGGAATGCATGTAAATTAGATAAATATGAGCAAAAGGCCTCGTTTGTAGTCAGGTTCACCAAAAAAAGTCGGCAATGTTGCTTTGGAAGCGTTTTCGTCTCATCACCATATACTTGTTCGTCATCTTACGTTCGTAAATTTGGCTCAATGGGGCCAACTCATAGCGTTACGCAAACGTGATGTAATAAATTGATGCATGATGATAGCACAAAGAAAAACTTCCGGACAAATTGTCGGCCATACTGTCACGCTCCTGTTTGTTACAGATTTTGTGCATTTCGGCACTTGGGTTCCTGTATGCAAATGCTTGCGTAAAGAGGGACAATTTGACATCATATGATATGCAGGGCAGCATGAAACCACGTCAAAAGTGTGTGCCATCAGATGAAAGATCACATACAACATCACATCACATTGCTCAGAAGCAGTTCTAGACTTTTGAGAAGCTACATTGCGTGTATCAAGTAATAGAGCTCACGTTTTGTGTAACGTAATGTTTGCGAGCTGAGATTTTCCATGCGCCGCTCACCACTCACCTTGACCTCCGTCAGCTTACTGATGTCCGGAAGGATGTAGAACTTGATGCCCTCGATGGCCCCCGGAAGAGTGACGCCGCGAACCAGCAGAATGGTCATCAACACGTACGGAAAGAGTGACGTGAAGTACACCACCTGTTGACAACACGGCGTGGTGATCCGCTGGCACACAACCAAGCTGCTACATAATGTGCTATGTTGCGTTATTCGAAGGCAAATTGAATTCCGGTAGGCAACAAATGATGGGGCAAGTTATGCTCACTGTATTGGCTGCAGCACGAATATGACATTGTAACTGAGTTATTTGTTTAAAAAGAATCGTCGGAGAAAATCCCTTGTGAGGTTGCTCCGTTGGTAAAGTCTGCTTACACCTAGAAAATTTCAAACGCGCAGGTTTTAAGTAAGGGTTCGACCTTTCTGTTAGATCAGACATCTCTTGGTATGATTCTAAGAGATTAAAGCTTGAAAGCTCTTCTGAAATGAATGGTTGCCAGCTGAAATAATCTATCACTGGAAAGCTATGATTAAGTTGGAGCCTGATTTGAAGATATTAGAAATGTGACATATTGTTTGTGTCCTCTTTTAAAAACCCTTATGACGCTGCATGCAGTGTTATCTGAATGGAGCCAGAATTTCTCATTCTACTGTGAGCTCATATCAGTCACTTTTCTTCACTACAGGCAGGACCTGGTTGTTGATGGTCAGAACTGGTGTGATAAGACTTTCACTGATAATTAAACATACTGTCTATGTGGTAGACTAACACTTTTGTGAACAGGTATCACTATATAATAATGAAGCAGTTTACATATAATAATGACGCAGTTCGGTCTGTCAACTTTAACCAATGCCTTTAAATGTGAACTTATCTATTCCGCTACCGTGTATGGCGTCATTCCCGACACGGCTGGCATGCGGTGTTCAGCACGCAACCCCGATGAAAACTGAAGCAGCCCGTTGTCAACATAATGTGCCCTCTGATAGACTCAAATACATCTACACTTCTATTGGTTCACGGCGAATGTCACACCTGTCTCCACGTGTGCACTATGATGTATGCATTCGAATATGATGACATTATGAACACGAGCAATCAAATGGTCTGGCTTTTTCCCCACTCATGTTATGTCACTCCAGTGGACTTGGCATTATTAAATACATTGTTCCATGTAGTAATCTTACAAACGGTTTACATGTGCGGCTTTGGGCCCAGAGTATCTGCTAGGCATAGCTTAATGCATGTACCCTCAACCCACCACCCAGTTCATGCCGCCCAGTTCAACGGTTGATTTTGTTTCCGCCCTTTTGACAAACGTGAGTGCGGAGGGTCTCCCGTGCCACATAATCCTGTGGCACGGCCGCCCCTGACCTGGGTTCGGATTGACCCTCGTTGGCCAGTTGTCAGCTGACCTTTCCATTTCAGTTGGGCCAAACAAAGCGCCCGCTCTGGGACTCGTACCCATCGCTGCTACACTACGGGTCCAACATCTTTCTTCTAGGCTACGAAGAAGACATTGTGGGTACATGCATTACCATGAAACACTAAGCACATGTCATGCATTGACTGCCATGATGTACAAACCAATACTTGCATACTGCTATTTTGTAATATAAACTCAATTCAAACTATAGACCTCACAGCTTGTAACAAGCTCCTCTCATAGACTACCACTAAGCGATACAAAATATAGCAACATTAACATGAAAATAAAAATAAAACTTTCAGAAACCAAGCATAGTTTGGAAGACAACATCTGGCATATTTAGGACTGGGGCATGTTTAACTAGATCGCAATGCGTAGATGAAAACTATCGCTCCCAAACTCAAACATTTCAACGAAACTGATCGGAAGGTACGCTTCGAACCATACGAACAGTTTGCGAGGACACCACGACCACGCTGTACCTTTCCAGTGTACTTGACACCCTTCCAGATGCAGAAGTAGCAGAGGACCCAGGCCAGGGCGAGCGTGCCCACCAGCTCCCAGCGCACCGACCCCATGTCCTCGATGCCGCTCGAAATGCCGAGCGCACGGCGCCTGGGGGTAGACGGGCGATGACCTTCCAGAGGCGCGCAGAGGTAGACATCTACGATCGCGGGGTTCTGTTGCTCAGAGTGTATTTAGGTTTGCGCTACTTTTGCTATTTTCGCAAGAAACCGCCTCTGAGGTAAACTGTTAATTTCAACGGCGGTTAGTACTGTAAAAATGTGTTGCATCACTAAGCACATATTTCGTTTTTAATTACTTGATTATGCGCCAAGGTTCGTGTACTAGTATGACTGGTACAGCCGTGGGAGGCGTGCACCAAACGTAGGCATCGTATATCCATATTGTGCGCAGTCTGAACAAATTAGCAGCTTTCCACACCGAAGCATACACATGAACCGTCCCTTGAGTAGCACCGGTTACACTTACAGTCATCTGTCCCCTACGAACGGGGAAAGTTAGCCGCTCTCCACCAAATGCGCCACCGTAGGAACATATGCGCGGTCACTGTACAGACTATTCTCGCATCCATTTGACGCGGCAGTGCATCCCGGGCGTCTGGACGAGTTCCCGGGGCGGCTGCGCGCCGGCCAGCCGGCGGGGGGCTATCCTTTGTCGCCCGCCTCCGTCCAGCCTACAGTCCGACAGGTCACCGGGTGACTCCGCACGCGGTACGCGCCTATGGCCCGCTGGGCACTCACGGTATCAGGAGCAGCAAACGTCAACGAAGGGGTAGCTGATGGTGTCAGTCGGAACCGCGAGTACCGGCCAGACAAAAAGGCGGACTGACTTACTCCCAGAACTCCCGCACGGGGTCCGTCATGTCCTTCTCATTGACGACATAGTTCTCCAGCTGGCAGTAGGTCCTGCTGCTGAAATTGCTCAAGCTCTCGGTCCAGCAGTCGAGCTTGTCACGTTCGTACGGGCTGACGCACGTGGCCGAGTTCCACCAGTTGTCGCATTCGCCCCAGGGCAGCGCTGTCAACAGGCGGGCAATGACAGACCGCGGGTCAGGCAGTCGGCGAAAGCACAGGTAGCCTGACCCGTCTCAGCTCGTGCTTTTAATCGCCATCTTTGTGTAGAGGATCAGAAGGGCTCCAAGCCCCTAGCCGCCCCAACCCTTGTCCTACGGACGCCCTCTCCTAAGAGGGCGCTTAATGATACTTCTAAGGTCTTAAAAAGCTAAGCAAGTCAGAGACACTAATAAAGCAGCATTGGAAGGCTCCCCAAACGGTACAAGACAGGTGTCACTGAACAATGATCAATGCTCCTTCAACAGGTCACAGCAGGTCTTACAAGTTCATTTGGCACTTCACAGGCTTCTCCTGTCATCTCAAAACCGAAACGTGCTACAATGTAAAAATATCATTAAACATCCGTTGTAGAACTTTATTAGACGGGCACCAGTGAATATTGATAGGCGGGACGTGTAATGTATCCTGTGAAGTCAAATAAGTGGAGGCCGTTGTTGCATTGGACAGTCAGCCTATATAAAAAATAAACAAGCATTGTCCATGGAGAGCTGTAAAATAAGTGCATCTAATGTTTTAGACCATGTAACCTTCAAAAGGTCAGATCTTGTCACAAATACCAAAGTTTAGCAGTTTTACATTAGATGATCTGACCCTGCAAAAGCAGTCATTACGACGTTCATGCACTCCAGTGTTAAACCTAAGGAAAACAGCCCAAAGAATGTCCTCCGAGTGCATTGCCTGTGAGAAATAAACGTTAACTGTCACCTTCGAGCAAATTTCTCTGGCATGACCTCAAGACACATGTGATAAATCCTAGCTACAACGTTAAGGGCAGAAGCATCAAATTTTCACAACATACGTAACATAAGTATCTCATCTAGCCGCAATTTCAAGACTGCGCTCGAAATGCATAGAAACGGTGCACAGAAATGCAGAAACACGCATAAATTTCAGCAGATACCCTAGTGGGGCTCATGAGACCGCTCCCCGTAGGGTGACGGTAAGCTAAGAGGACAATCGAGTTGTACCTCTTAAAGATGAAGAGACCGCTGTCTGACACCGAATTTGTAAAACGAAACATAATGATGCTTACCGGCTCGCAAGGAAGAGAAAAAATAGAAGAGCGCCCATGACAGCACCACAATGTAGTAGATATTCAGCCAGATGCACTGGATCACTGCTCCGAACCCAACGCCTGTAAAAGCGAAAAACAGCTATGAGTGTACACAGCACACAGCCAAAACTGCGACTGCATGTGCGCGAGCTACATTGTATCTTCTGACCTGCATGGCAGGACGCCAAGAATGTGTGTTTGATTATGACAATGAAAGCATCAGCTTTCCAATGTCATCAGCACGGCACCATGGACGGAGTGGGAAGAGCGAGGTCCCACCGAAAGCGTATTTTGACGTTGATTCCACGTCTCTATCACGAGACATCAGGGCAAATACTAGACATGACGTATATAGGGTTTAAAACATATCAAACTGATAATTTCGCCGTGACCCACAATGCAATGTACGTAAAGAAGATGTGTTTACGGGAAGAATATACAAGAGCAGAGCGAGACAAGGCCAAAACATAAGAACAAGGTTGTTCGTCAAATCCGCGCACATAACTAAACAACGCCACCTTGCGGAAATTGGAAGTACCACAAGTGAGTCACACTATCTGCTACAGCGGCATCGCCGACACGGCAACTCTGGCAGCGACTCTGTTGTCATAAGAACGTTCTATAACATGATGAAACGGTAGCATGACGAGAATCACGTGTACTAATAAGTGAAATTGCATTAAATATAGCAGTCATTTGCACATAAAGGCGTACCAATGGCGAAAAGTGGGCCCTTTTATGATTTCAATAGTGACTTTAACGGCCCCAGGATGGCGGCGGTAACAGCCCTGAGAGTTTAGACAGAGCACAAGCTTGGCACTCTGGCCGAGAAACGCTGCTTCCCAGCCTCGGTCCTCGAGGGGGCACGTAAAGCAAACTACCCTGCCGCGTACTCCGCGCCCGCACCAAATGTGTTTGCTCGGAAAATGGGCGCGAGTGAGTCTGGCTGACCGTACACTATCGCCTCACGCGTTAGGCTCAGTGTGCAAGAGTCCGTTAGTTGTGACACGGCTATCCATACCAGAGTCTCTTGCAGGTCAGACACATATTCAAACTTTCGACGCCCAAAGGTAGTCCGAGCACCGATTTCTAAATTTTTGAGGGAGTATTTTTGAGGAAAAGTTGTTTTGGCACTGTCACCATGAATCAAAATGCAGCATCTGACATGCGGGAGAACGAGAGCCGTGACCTGATGCGATGATGCCATTTAATGCAAGGTGTGGGATATGGGTTAGACCGACGAAGATGCCTGTGCAGCAGCGACTGGCGTATGACACGTGCACGCCCCACGAAAAGGTTTGGTCAACAATCATACCCATATTCTTAACTCACTGCAGAGTGCGAAAGTTGTGTCGCGAAAAGCGACTTCAGAAACTGTTAATTTGCGCAGATTTTGACGGCTTGCAAAAAGGTGAGCTATGCTTTTTGCTGCGTTGACCTTGAGGGTGTTCGCGACAAGCCATATGTCCAGAGAACAGGGAACATTATCGGCGCGGGAGATAAGCGCTGTGAGAAAGCTCTTTCTTCTGGTGATGGGTATATGTGTGTTATTAGAGTACTGCCCGACATCGCGTCACAGATTAAAAAAAAACACCACGCTGTTCAGCGAGATGCTGAAAACAAGAGCATCAAGAGCGACCCTGGAACACGTCCACGGCGTTGTCCTGGGGTTGTGAGGCCACTATGCCTGGTACTGTGACGCTCCGCGTATGTCCCTAAATTCAATGGCGTCAACACATTATGTCAGACCGTTTAAGCATAGCAGTGACTGCTATGATAGACATGATTGCCCCGCTATTGGTGGCTGAAGATGCAGTCGGTGACGGATTTCAGGGCAGTTTTCGTGGAGTGATGGTGTAGGAAGTCGTGCTAGTAAAGGATGATAGATGGTGTAGATGGTTACGACAGAGGTAGTTAGCTGCTTCTGTGCCACCCGTTCTGCCAGCCGTTTGGTGACGACGTGGATGATGGAGACAGGCCGGAAATGAAATGGGTCTACGGGGACATAAGATTTACGGATCAGGTGGATGATGAAATGTTTCCAGGATTCAGGAATGCTTTGGTTACCAGAACCTGACATAGATCCCAAACGCCGTCCCAAAGCGGTTGGTTCAGTGGCTGTACTCCAGTGTGCGTGGCTGGGTGCGCACAGTGGCCCACTTCTCTACTTACGCCACTGTCTTAGCGCCACCCCAATATATGGTGTTAGTCTCGTGTCGCTCAGATGCCGCTGCACCGGGATGTAGGTTGTTTTTCTACATGTGTTGGAAAAATGAAAAAGCGAATTTGATTCTTTCCATGCAATACAATATGCGGAAGCATTTCTTAACAAAAAGCTACAGAGTTCCGTGGAGTAGAAGCAGCCATTGACAACAGCTAAATATGTCCGTTACTTCCAAGACATAATCAAGTCAGCGTGAGCAGTATTTTTCTAATTGCTCTCGTTGCATTGAGTTGAGCAAGGCAGCCATCAGTGATTAACATATATTAGAATCTAAAAAGAGCGACGGACGGATGTCACGAGACCGGGCCGTTCGGTGCAAGCAGAGGGGCTGAAGTTTAGAAAATTACCACGAGAGCTCTCTAAGTTATCGGCCCTGGATGCAATCACCTTTCAGTGCATTCCATTGAGAGATGATGTTTATGATCCAATGTTAATGGTAATGTACGCCATTAGCCGGCGAATAATTTCATTTTTCTAAGCCTTTATATCCGGCTCGATACCGAACGCCTAACCCCCAATGTTTGTGAAATTCGAGCTCGTAATGGGATTTACAGCAATGCGAGGCCAGCAAAGCATTTTCTGCATGTTTTACATCGTTGAATGAGCAGAGTGATTAAACCATATACTAGAATGGCCCTGAATTTTCGGAATCCTCCGCCATTGCAAGCCCATGACCTTGCACATATGGTGCAGCGATTTCGTTTCAACAAGACGTTGAATGTTGGGTTATTATATATACAGTCTCTAATAAAAAGCGCACCCAAATGTGAAGGAAAAGAGCAAAATAGCCGCATCATACAAATGTGTGAATGTTTTTATCTAAAGCGCCCAAAACAGCGTATAGTCACTTATGTCAATATGAACATGTCACTGTTGATATGAACATGTACAAAGCAGATATTTTTCCTTCTCTTCCTTACATTTTACGCGGCCGTAGTTCGGAATAATTCCAAGGTCACAGATGATCGTACTTGGCTTTTTAGCGCTGGCTGATTTTGCCGTAAAAGGACTCCAATGACACGCTTCTGTGACCCTTTTGTCGCCCACTCCTTTTAGCACCACGACGTCCCAGTATAATCCTTTCAGCAACGAACGGCCTCCACACGCGCCACCCGAAACTATTTTTCAGCTCCGGCAGCGGCAGCGGCCGGCAGACGCCTTCATCGCGGCGCAACGCCCGTTACGAGGCGGCGATGTTTGGCAATATTGGCGCACCAGGGCCGCCTCGCGTCCGCTGGAGCGGTCATATTGGCGCGGACAACCGGGCCGTCGCTGACACCGACGCGCCGGAGTAGGCGCCTCCGAGAGCTGGGACAATTTTCGGCTGGCGGCAACGGCTGGCGGCTTGCGAGCCGTCGGCATAGTTTGGCGATAGATTGGCCGGCGGCTGACGGGAAGTGACGGGGACGGGTTAGACAGCGGAATGGCGGAGACGCCGCAGCTGCTGCCGTCCGCTCCGCCCGTTCCGTGAGAGATACAGGAGCGTTGCGAGGGGAGGTGAAGATAACGGAAAAGAAGGTGCCTCCGCAGTAACGGCAATGCGGTAATGCGCTGAGAATTCGTTGAGGTGGAATGGATCAGCATCTCTCCATACTACTCGTTGGCTCCTCACAGATGGTCAAAAGTTTGAAGAAGTTGGAGTGTTGCTGGTTTTGCACTCAGGAGCTGTGTTTGTAAACATTATGTGCTCTGAGTTACTACGGGAATCTAGGCGCGCTACGATGTGACGCATGTCATTCTATTTTGTCATCCAGGTCGAACGATGTTACGCAAACGGTAAGTGGTTCACAACAGAAACATTATTCCATGTCAGCTTTGCATGCGTGCGCATTACGGCCACATGCAAATTCGCAAGATGTTCATCGTCGTGGATAGAAACCACTGCATTTCGAAATATCGCGTCCAGGGCAGCCGTCGGGGTGCACTGAGCCGTGAGTTTAGTCATTTTATCTGTGCTAATGCTACACATTGCTTATAGTGCAAATCCGTGCATAGTTTGCAATTTCAAGTACATACCCTTGAAGGCCGGACTGATCTTCCAGACGCCGAGTCCTCCGATGGACAGGTACTGGCCGAGCGACACCTCCAGCAGGAACATGGGCACGCCGCACGTGGCCACCGTCAGCAGGTACGGGATCAGGAAGGCGCCTGCAGCACACGCCTGACCTCAGCCCATCTCAGCGGGTGGCGGGCGGTGGCAGGCGGGCACGCCTGTACAACAGCGCCGCTCGGAGCCAATCCCAGTTCCACAGCGGTGGTCAGCTCCGATGATTCGCCGAGATCAGGTTGACTTATCCCACACGGTGGCTCGAAAAATGCAGGGCGGGAAGCAGCAAGATGTGGGGGTCGGTCGTGGGAAAGGCACTTTTCTTGGATGCATGTTCTACAATTCAGCACCACTATAGACCTAAAATTATTTTTGCCGCGTAACCTGAGCACGATGGTCTTAAGATCGCCGTTGCGTACTTGGCTAGATCTCACTTACTAGTTTTTGGCGCCTTCCCACTAGCGCGAGACAACACATAGTTTTTTTCGCGCCATCCCACAGGCGCGAGACAACACATCTTTTTGGCGCGATCCCACAAGCGCAAGACAGCAAACACCTTGCTGGCTGTTGGATTTACAACATGATACATGGCATGCATGTCAGTGTTTATCTACCATTTGCGTGCCAGCCCGCCAGCAGAACGGCGGGTCCCATGGCGGCTTCGTCGCGCCGGCCAGCCGCGTGTGGCATCTACACTGACTATGCGCTAGTCCTCCTTCACACAGGCACGCAGACCAGGGGCTTGGATTTCTTTTTCATCGCAGGATGCCAGAACCTCCAAAACTTTGGCCACAGTGGCAAACAACAGTGCACTCTACAACCAAAAATGAACAGGCTAAATTAAAGAGAAGCACGCTTTCGGCTTTTTCAGAAAAGGTCAAGTCATTTTTGCTGTTCAGTCCCCCGTCCCCCTTTCCAACTGGCTTTGCCAAACCACGCCCTTCATGTACACCAATTGTGAAATATAGCGCACGATGTATCGCAAGCCATCGCTGTCAACGCACACAGATCAGATTGGCCATCATCCTAGCAGATGGCGGACATCAGTCTCGAACCTCACCTCCACCATTCTTGTAGCAGAGGTAGGGGAACCTCCAGACGTTGCCGAGGCCGATAGCGTAGCCGACCACCGAGAGGACAAAGTCCAGCTTTCCCGACCACGTCTCGCGGTCCGGCTCGTCCGACTTCAGCGCTATCACCTGGAGCAGGCATGCGTGCCGGCCATCAGCAGCACGGTGGACCACAGGACGACAGTTCGCCCCACCCCGGGGCAGATGTGGGTGTGAGGTGGAGCATGCAGGGGACGCCGAACTCGCTCACACCGCGCCCGACGAGGGGATGTATGTCCCGAGGCGGGCCTCCTGCTACGGCTCTGGCAGCTAAAGATTTTATCTGGGATGGCATAGGATTGATGGCACATTCCTAGCCTACATGTTGTCAAATTATTTCTCCGGAGTCAGCTATGGTCCACGAACCGCGTTGTTATTACCGTTTATGGTAGTTAGCCTAGTTCGCAATTTTACATGCAAAGCATGACATTTCCGAAGCTTTGGGAATGGCATATCAACGGCTTAGTTACTCGCATATGACCCAGAAATAATGCAAGTTTTAAGGGAAACACGTACACCCACAACGCTTATGGGTACATGAAATACTTAAACGTACAAAGCCAACAACGTGTGGTGATGTCTGCTGTAGCCTCGCCGGCCTCTCTCACTAGAGGCCTTCAAGGGTAAAGTTTTATTTATCCAATCCACCGGACAGCCATTAGGATGTGCCCACATACTCACCCACTACCCTTTCCTAATCAATTTTGCCCAACCGTTAGTCAAACGTTTGCATTTCGCAGCACTTAATCCCTTAACCATACCCTGATTCCCCGTTGTTTTGTCCATAACGCGAACTGATATGAAGAATCGATGCGACCCCTGCCGTTACGAAGGTAATAAAAATAGATGGAAATGCTATTGGATCAATCTCAACAAGATCTCACGGTTTGCAACTATGTGTATGCTGCTAAGTCAAAAACTGACCCCATTATGCCAGGTCAAAGGTCAAATGTTCTCGTAACTCGAACATTTTTAGCTTTACATATTTATATGAGCAATATATTGCTTGCAGTGACACAAGCCTGAAGATGCGTGTTCCTTGCTCAATTCTGAGTCCAACGGTGCGTATTTTTACATGTTATGCAGCACGTTTGTGTGATGCATGACTCCCGTTAATATAACAACGTCGTTCCGCCGCAGGCGATCCGTGGAATCGTCCGTTGCCGCCCACCTCCCACGCCGGCCGTCGATCGCCATGCAAAACGCGCCTCTGCTCCGAAACCAGAAAAGCTAAGAGCGCGTTTTAGTGCCAAAACACGAGCAATGGCTGTCCCATAAGCTATTTGAATTTAGGTGCGATTGCACGACACGCAGTAGAGGAAAACTCAGACACTCCGAGGGGGAGGTTTGCGTGGACCCCTTCCAGTTAAGGAGAGGATCAATTATGGAAAAGGTCAGGGAAAGCTTACACCCAGGCTTACTCATTTGCGTTATTATTGCAAAGTAGTTTGAGTGTAGGTTCTTATCGCTCACAAAAACGCAAGCAGTAGCACTGTGTAGCATTTCTTCCTTCCTGAAATAACTTCCAGATACTTTGTCAAGTTCTTCTCATCCTTGCACCCTACATACCTAAGATCCTGTTCCCACCCCAGCCCCGTCCCTCACGCC